ATTTGGACTTATGTGAGGTCATTGTGTGGTCCCACGCCATAAAAATTAGGCCTAAGTTAGCTATGCAACATCTTGGGTTGTGAACCTTTGAAGTAAATGGGCCTAAGGCCCATAGTTAATAAGATTAAAAAATCTGTAAGTTGTCATGTGTTTCGAGTGAAATTTAGGTTTGGAAATGGGTATGGAGCACCCATTATCTTAAAGATGGGTGAAATTTAGGTTTGGAAGTCTAGATCCAAAATAGATTTGGATAGTGGTGGCAATTGGGCAGGTTGGGTTGGGTTTGGTCAACCCAACCCATTTAACCCGCCAACCCGTTAATGACCCAGTTACATAAAATTAAATGGGTTGGGTTCAACCCAAACCCGCTTTAACCCAATCCAACCCGCCCAAACCCATTAATCTTATATTTATGAACTTAAAACAAAAAAGTAACTCATTTTTAACAAATAAGTTAGTCATAGCTTAGTGGTAATAGTAGTTGCTATTTACACAAGTGGTGAAGGTTCAAATCATATTACATGCATGTTATTTTTATACAAGCAGCAAAGCCATTTAACTATGTTTGGGTTTCGGATTTGACGAACCATAGGTTCAAACCGGTCAGACCAACTTGAACTATCTAATTGGATTGTCTTCGAGGTAATCACATCAAGTTCAAGAGTGGTTGAACTGTTTAGATTTGGATTAGTCCGGTCGGACTAGACCCCACCCGAACCGGTTAAGTCCGGTCAGACAAAACCCGATCGGACCGGATTCAGTCCGGTCGGATCAGATCCGACCTGATCGGGCCACATCATTTCAATCAGACCAGACTAGACTGGCTCAGTCAATGGTGGGTTGACTTGGGTCGGCTCATATCAGGTTTGTGCATGGGTTTAGGGCCGAATCGATTGGCCCGAAGTGAGTCAAAAGAAGTAAATTGGACCGGGACGGATTTGGGTCGGGTTGTACGGATATGAACCAAATTGGACAATCCAAACCGGGCAAAGCAAGCGGGGTGGTTTAGGGTTCATACCCCATTGGTTCGACCCGTTTTGGATTCGGGTCGACCCAAATCAGCTTGTACCGGGTTGAGCCTGGCTGTGTGAATAATGGTTGGCCGGATGACCCAAATCGGGCAAAGCAAGCAGTACCGAGCCATCCCGTCCTAGGTCTATTTCAAATTTGGGTCGACTCGAATTGGTATATGTTGGGTCGTGTCAGACTGCATTGAACTGGTTCGAACTTAGGTCAAATTGATTTGGATTTATGTTGGGTGAGGTGTGTTGGTTCAAGACAAAACTAAATTTAGTCAATAATTAATAGAAAATTAATGCATTAATTATAAATTATTTAATTCAAATGAAGAAAATTAAAAAACAAAGGCTAAGGAATTAATACTAATGTTTGTAATGGTTAACCCAACGGTTATCCACAACCCAACCCAACCCAACCCATTTAAATGGACGGGTTGGGTGACAGGTTGATCACACAACCCGCCAAGTAAATGGGCAGGTTAGATATTGAGTGGGTTGGGTGAAAATTTTCCACCCCTAGATTTGGATAGTCTCGTAATTTGATTAGGAGAGTGATCCATAAGGAGATAAAAGAAGAAGAGGGTGAACTAGACTTGAACACCACTCTTTCTTGTTCTCTCTTCTTCTCTTTTGTCTTCCAAGAAACCCCATCACGACCTAGGTTTTCAAAGACTGCTAGAGATCAATATTCTTCTAATTTTTGCAAGAAAAATTCAGAGAAATTTTAGGCTCACCTTCCCTAGTCCGATCCAAGCAATTGAATTGCAGTTTTGTGGAAAACTATGTAGCTAAATCAACTTCGCCTATACACTGCGCCATCTTCACTGGAGGCTAGTTTTATAATTGATTTTGGCGTAAATTTCCACATTGGGATCTGTGTTTGTGATATTCGTATCAGGTATAAATCTCCCTCTTTGTTTGGTTTCAAATCTAGTCCGGTTCAATGTAATATCAACCCGAAAAAATGCAATTTTTCAAAAACATAGGAATTCAATTCTCAAAAGGATTAGGAAATTTTTGAAATTTTGTCCAACCATCTATCATGGTTCGGTCATCCATAAGATGGATCCTAACCCTTCCAACAGTGGTATCAAAGCATTATATTCAGCCCTTAGACTAAACCAAATCGGATTTGAACCAAAACTCAAATTGGCATATATATATATATATATAGCTTATTAAGTTCTTCAAACAGAATAACTAGCTTAGGAAAATGTTGAACAATAACATACTAATGCTACAATTCAAAACAGGCTAAGGCTGAGCTACATTGAACATCAAACCCTATAATTAGTTGTCAGTCAATGTCCATTAGAAAGGGTTGAGGTGAAGATTCAGTTAAGCTACTCAGCTAATTTGAAGCATTTGAATTAAGCTATTCAACGAGGCCGGTGTAGACAACCCATAAAATGGCTAATCGATAGCTAATTTTGGCTTTCTAGATTTTTCACCAAATATAGCTTATAGACTGTCTATGTGGGTCCCATCTTGGAAAGCTAAAACCCGTTGAGCTTCAACTCTCCCAAATGGGCACTTAGTCATTTGAATCACCTGCTCAGCCTCCCAAACGCAGCCTTGAGAATGCAACATGTTCTCCTTGAATCCGCATATGTGCCCCCACATGTTCTCCTTTCTCTTTTAATTTGGCAACGACTTCTTTCCCTTTTATGCTAGCAACAACCTTTACATAACAGTCCTCAAATTAGTATTCTTCAATCTTTTCCTTTGGTGGAAGTGGCAAAGACCTCTTCTGTGCTGCATTTGCACTTTGGACAGCTACATTCAAGGCCAGCTACATTCATTCTTTCCATGCGTTTGTGATACTCCTATTAAACTCTTCACTTACCTATTGCTTCATATAGCATTCAACACTGGAACAAACATCCCCTCTCTCTTCCTCACACTTAACATACAAAATTCACAATTATAATTAATTAGAATACATACATACATACATAGAAGACCTTAATTCACTCTCAATTAAGATAAAGATTTGTAGTATAAAATAATGAATGAATGCTTATTATCGTCTTCTTTGCGAAGGCTGTGTTTGGTTGCAGTGCAATTTTGTTTGCACTAGTACAAATGCATGAGAGTGCAAATGAAAAGAAATGCAAATTCTCATTTAATTTTGTTTTGGATTTTATTTTATTCTACTTCATGTATTAATTTACTTCATTTATAATGCAATGAAACAAAACAAGTTAAAATTTGAAATAAAAATATGTCAGAATTTACACTTGTATCATTTACACTGCCTTAGTTTTGCATCGATGCAAATTTATTTGCATTGCAACCAAACGCAACCTAAGATACATACCTCATTAGTTTTGATTTCATCCATGAGACGACTAATTATACTTAAATTTTTTACGAGATTAGGTAGATTTGACACCCAATCAAAGGCTTTGTTGCAATTTCTCCCATGCTCACAAAGGATGTAACTGCCAACAAAGGGTAACCAGTGCTGATTATGGCCACATCAAGATCAAATCAGCCCCCCACAATGTCCCACAGCACATCCCTGCTGTGTATTGGAAACATCTCCTGATGTTGACATCATCATTTCAAGTGTTATGATCGGGAGATGTTCCCAATACATGGCAGGGATGTGCTGTGGGACATTGTGGGGGGCTGATTTGAACTCAGACTATCCATGTACTCCTTAACTATAGGAATGTGCCTTGAAAGAACCATTTGGCTTCAACCAAGTAAGCTCTAGCCTATTTTCTCATCTGAAGTTTGATTAAAATAATAAATATTGTTAGGATGTGAATTTATGATTTTCAACAAGTTAACCATCAAGCAATGTTTTAAAAACTGACTACTTTGGCCATTGATATTTGGGTCAGCGGTTCAATTTTCCGGTTTGAATGGATGGCCCATTTCAGTTAAAAAATGTAAAAAATAAAAAATAAATAAAATAAAAAACAGCTAAAACCATAATTCGGGTCGGATGGGTCAATGGTTCAAACGCACAGATCAGTGGTTTCCCTACCAGGTCAACAGTTTTTGCCCAAGGACTGAGTTAAGGGTGAAACAGAACCGGTTGCCTAGATGAATTCCAGCCGAACAGTCCAACCATCCCAGTCAACGACGGTTCAAAAACATTGCCGTAAAGAACATTGTTATCTAGGTAACCCTTCTTGGGCCATGTTTGGTTGATAGAAAAGAGAAATAAAAAGTTGAGGGACAAGTGACACATTTCAGGTTGGAAAGAATCAAAGATGTGGAAGTATGCATTAATGTATCGCTTCTTTTGCATAATACACTCAATAAGATCTTCCTTCTTTCTTCATCTATTCTTCAATTTCATTATAAACATCCAAGAGTGCAAGATATATTACTTTAGGGGGCATTCATTTTTTGGATTTTGTGAGGGGGGAAAGTTGGTCAATGGGATTTTGGTTTCCATTGACCAAGAACCCCATGTTCTTTTTTCAGATTTATGTGGGGACTAGGGAAAATTTATTTTCCTGTGCATCATCACTTACCTAGGCAAGTGATACCCATCTCCTAAGGTGGGTAAATAACTTTCCCACATAATGGGAAAGTTGTTAGTAATTGAATGGAACAAAAATGCCCCTTTTAATAATAGATTTATATGACTAAAATGGTCATTGCCTTATTTACCTGGGAAATAAAAGAGCATGGGTAAGTGTAAGTGCACTTACCCAGGTAAGTGTTTTTTAGGAAAAACTTACCTACGTAATTGCATTTTCCCGGATAAATAACTTACCGAAAAGCAGATCAATTTCACTGACATCCCACGTGAATAGATGAACTAAAATAAAATGATCAAGAGAGATGAAGTATTAGAACTCTAACCAATGACTTAAGTTGATAGAAACTGAGCAATAATGACATGTTTAAAAAGCCATTGGATATGCATCAAATCTTTCGATTGCATCTGTAAAGTGATGGAGTTCTTTAAGTGTACCATATATGTCATAAGTATCATCGAGAGTTGATGTCATGGCTATTACTTTGGTTAGATCATTCCAGTAATGAAACAATTGCTCGATTGGGTGGGCTGAAAGTGAAGTGGATTCTAATTTTATTTTATGAGATGGGCCCTACATGAAAAGCTTATAATTTGTTGAACTAAAATATCCCTATTTTTAAATATGCTCCATCTCTAGTTGTAAGAGCAAAAGTGCAATTTGAACACCTACTCAAATTTTTATGGAATCAATCAGCAAAGATGTGATGTGATCTTTCAACACTGTCTCAGCATTGGTGTATCCATTTCCATGCTTGTAGATAACATCCATCATGCGTGCTAGGTTTGCAACTCGCGTGAGCAGTGGCTTTGGTATGGCAGTTGTTCTGAGGCACTCCTCGTTTATATCTTTCCATGCATTTGTGATACTCCTACTGAACTCTTCAACTACCTCTTGCTTTGACACACCATATTGCTTCATATAACATTCAACACTGGAACAAACATCCCCTTTCTCTTGTTCATACTTCACATATAAAAATTACAATTGCAATTAATTAGAATACATACATACATACATTCATACATAGAAAATCTTCATTCACTCTCAATTAGGATGTAGATTTTCAATGTAAAATAATGAATAAATGCTTATTGTCTAAGATATATACCTCATGAGTCATGATATCATCCATGAGACGACAAATTATACTTGAATTTTTTACGAGATTAGGTAGATTTGACACCCAATCAAAGGCCTCCTTTGTTGCGATTTCTCCCATGCCCACAAAGGATGCAACTGCCAGCAAAGGGTAACTAGTGCTGATTAAGGCCACATCCATATACTCCTCGACTATAGGAATGTGCCCTTGAAAGAACCATTTGGCTTCAACCAAGTAAGCTCTAGCCTGTTTTCTCATCTGAAGTTCGATTAAAGTAATAGAGACTGTCAGGATGTGAGTTTATGATTTTCAACGAGTTAATCGTAAAGCAATGTTTTAAAAATCGATCCGGAGGTAGAACCATTTTGACCACCAGTTTTTGGGTCAGTGGTTCAATCATCCAGTTTGAATGAATGACCTGTTTCAATTAAAAAAATAAAAAATGGTCAAAACCGTTGTCTAGATCAATAGTTCGATCTCGCAGGTCAATGAGTCACTGACCAAGTTAATGGTTTTTTGCCAAGGATCGGGTTAAAGGTAAAACGGAATCAGTTGTCTGGATGGTTCCCGGGATGAACGATCTGACCGTCGGGGTCATTGACGGTTAGAAAACAGTGCCATAAAGGACAAAAAAAAAGTTGAGGAATAATGTACCGCTTCTTTTGCATAATAGACACAATAAGATCTTCCTTCTCTGTTCACCTGTTCCTCAATTTCATTATAAACATCTAAGAGTGCAAGATATATTACTTTCATGTATTCCAGTAGCTGATCAGTTTCACCGACATCCCACCTGAATAGATGAACTAAAATAAAATGATCAAGAGGGAGATGAAGTACTAGAACTGTAACTAACGACTTAAGTTGATAGAAATTGAGCAATAATGACATGTTTAAAAAGCCATGAGATATGCATCAAACCTTTCGATTGCATCTGTAAAAAGCTGGAGTTCTTCGAGTGTGCCATATATGTCATAAGTATCATCGAGCACTGATGTCATGGCTATTACTTTGGTTAGGATCATTCTTCCAAGAGAGTACTGAGGTTCTGGATACACTCCCATTATCCAAAAGTAGCATTCTACTACTCTGTTTCTAGCATAAGGTATCTTTAATGCAAAATCTAAATCTTTCCACCACCTTTGACAAAGATATTTAAACAAGCCTGGATTAGTTGATACATACCTTGAAGGACTCTTTTGTAGGGCTATCAATGGGTTGGGGCCGACCCAACAGATATGATGGATTGGTTCTCCTGGTCCTGATATATATATATATATATATATATATATATATATATATATATATATATATATACCAGCTCCACTCAACCTTGAACTGATTCAGACCTGACTCAATTGGGTCCATCGGGTCAGACCCATTTGTCTCGAAAATCGATCAATTCAATTCTGGGTCTAAAACTTACAGACCCTGTCGGGTCCTGTTCAGTTCCAAATCCTTAGTATTTCTTATGAGCGAGATTAGTTCCTATTCTACCTGAACCCGACCCGCTGACAGCCCTAATTATTATTATTATTATTTTTTTTGTAGGGGCGGGGGGGAAGTAAAAGAAACTTACTTAGATATTTGGCTTAGCTCCTTGAGATGTAAAGGCTGCAATCGGTTGAAATCTAGCTTTGCAAACTGTAGCAAAACTGGGTTATGTGTTTCATCTTGTTCGTAGAAAGATATGTAATGGCGTGCCTCTAACTTGAGCATACCCCTGTGGAAGGGCTGCTCTAGGGCATGCATCACTTGTTTTACAAGATGGGAGCTTGTATTGGTGACCACAGACGACTCAAGTTGAGCAGTAGTAAAAGCAAGGGCTTCATCTAGAACTTCTTCTCCGCGTATCCCAAGATGTGCAGCTTCATACAAACCTAGAATGCCCTTTAGGTCTCTAGTTAAGCCATCTCTGAACTTTCCATGATCATCTTTGAATTTGTTAAAGATATCTGCTTGACCACCCGATGGAGGAAATGAATGAACGATGAAAGCACAAAGGCATCATTAGTTGTTGAGGGTTGGGGATCAACCATTTATATTTCTGTTTGGGAATGGTTGTATGCCCTCTTAAAGAAAGTTGGAAAAGAGAGTCCAGGTTTTAATTAATTCCAAAAATACTCCAAACAGTTCTCATATCACACACACACTCCTCCAAACCAAAGTAATAATTTGAGGGTAGGGTTTTGTTTCCTAAAAGGTTGATATGAGAATTAATTTTAAGAGGTCACATAACTTTTCTGAAACAGAAATATAAATGGTTCCTAATTAAAGGTTGATCAAATAAAGGGGTTGTAGGGTATATGGATTATTTTAGTAAAAGGGATCAGTATTTCCTTCAGCATTGGACAATGTATACCATGATTTAATTTCGCTAATGGATATGCATAATAAACATAGAAATGAAACAGAAACTTGTGAAGAAAAGTGAGGGATGACTACCACATGGTATATTATAGCCATTTTGTCTGAGTAATCGAAACCAAAGAGCAATGGTATGCAGATCATCATCCACACCATTGAAATATCCAACATGGGTGACAAGCATATGTTCTAGGATCTCATCGATCTCTCTTTCAAAGTGATATGCCAATCCAAGGCGTTGGATTGTGTCAATCAAACTCAGTATTTCTGATGGACCATTGGTAGAATTCATTAGCATACACCTCACTTCTTCTTTCAGCCCTTCAGCTTGTTTATTGCAGGCATCAAGTGTCTGTATAGACAAATTTATATGTCAAAACCAAATAAAACCACACATCTGTGCGTTGTGGCTGTGTTGTACATGTTTGAGAGAGCAGGGGTGGAGCCAGGGCTTTTTCTTAGGGGGGCCATGGCTCCCCTCTACTACCCCTGGCTCCGCCCGCCCGCTGGGTGTGTGAGAGAGAGAGAAACATGTGATCGCAGGTATATGTAGCGAAGAAATCACCCTAAATGGTAGGATGTGTGTGTGAGAGAGAGAGAGAGAACCATGTTATTGCAGGTATATATAGCGAAGCGGCCACCCCAAATGCTAGGATGTGTGTATGTATGAGAGAGAGAGAGAACCATGTTATGGAACTATATGTAGCGAGGTGATCACCCCAAATGCTAGGATGTGTGTGTGTGAGAGAGAGAGAACCATGTTATTGCAGGTATATGTAGCGAAGAGACCTGAAATTCTAGGATGTGTGTGTTTGGGAGAGAGAGAGAACCATGTTATTGCAGGTATATGTAGCGAAACGGTCACCCCAAATGTTAGGATGTGTGTCTGTGTGTGTGTGTGTGAGAGAGAGAGAGAAAGAGAGAGAGAGAACCATGTTATCGCAAGTATATGTAGTGAAGCGATCACCCCAAATGCTAGGATGAAAATTTGCTGAGCGACGAACAACCTTTGGTTTTTCAATTTCAGGAAGACACAAAATGGGAGGACATGAAGAAGCTTGGTGAAGCATGTTGATTCGCAAGGGATGTGCTTTGGATGAATGACGAATGATGATAAGAACTTAAAGGTTATGAGTAGATATTTATAGGCCACCATTGGTGATAACAAGATTAACAAGATTAATTTGGCAAAAGCATAATACCTGTTACTGTTACTGATGTGAATGTATGCTTTGGAAAAATCTAATGCTGCCAAAAAATATGGTTATAGAGGGTACAGACCTGGACCCAACAGAAGATGATCCACATGTAAGGCTGTTGGGACTTTGTATTGGGATCAAATCCTCACTTACCAGTGAAGACTTTAACCAATCAAAACCCCTTGTAAATTTTGATAAATACCATCGGATTGTTAATCACTTTTTAAGATACGGATTCATTAGTTGCAGTTGGAATTGGAACAAAAATCCTTTGGAATCAAAATCGGAGTGGTTTATTCCCATATAGTCTGTTTGGTTCAGACATAAATGGAAATGGGAATTAATCAGTGGGATTTCATTCTTAAGGGAAGGGCAGAAAATGACCATTCCCTCAAATGGGGGAATGCCATTCCAGCAGAAAAGGGACCTTATTCTAACTTTTATTATATATAGTATAGATATTAGTAACTGATGTAACATCTACATTGTCAAATTATCAAACCAAAATTATTGAAAAAAGAGTATTGATTAAAACAAACTTTGGATACCTTATTTTTCTATCTTTCAGCCTTGACCAATGCACTGAAAGATAGTTTGCCCATGGGTCTGGCATACTCCAGCGCCTTCCATGACAACATTGTGGTGGTGAATGCCATCAGAAAGTTGAACTTTACATTGTTGCTGGTGTCATAGTAGCTGCCTGATAGATCCACCTGCAGATATACACAAGCTCATTAGTCATTTAGTTTTGGTAGGACATAATTTTCTTTCTGTTTTCAACATCCCTCACATTTGAAAGTAGAAGCTATAAATTTCTTGAATCAATATCTGTTTAGCTGATTAAAAAGATAACTCAAAGTAGAGGCATCAAGGAGTTTGGCCATAGGATAAGTCGATGTATATCTGTTTCAGATGATAGTATCTTTGATCATATGGATAAACTTTGGTCAGATTTTATCAGATTCATCTAGATTATTTGTATATTAACAGCATAGTAAGTAGCAAAAGAATTACTAAGTTCCAATAACTAGTGAAATACTAAAGTGATTGATACATGATACATATATAGCTCTGTAATGATTATCACTCAAATATTTCATAAGACTTTTAACTGCTAAGATATGGCAATCTGTCTTTTTGACACAGACAGAAACCTCTAGTGTTAAACTGGTAAATCATCAGCAACCTCCAAAAGCAGGAGCATGGCACCATGTAAGTTTTTCTGAGTGAAATACCTATGCTGCATTAACCTCAATGACACAAGACCCATCTATTAGATGGAACACAACCAAAAATGTCAGAGCAATAGGAGTTCAGAACTAAAGCTTCTAACTATAAATTATAATAGAATGTCCAAAAAAGTTGTGCACACTATAACCTAGCTTCCTCCATTCATGCCCATAAGGAATTTTTTAAGCACTAGATATAATGAAGTTACAAAGACCTAACATGGTAACATCAGAGCTTCTCTTTCGTTTTTCTGTCGTCTTCGGGAGGGATCGACATAAACTGCAAGATCTTCTGAACCTGCACAACATCAACTCGGAATTTCTCAGCAATCTGGTGTGCATCCATGGGCCCATCATGGTCATCAGCTTTGCCTTGATGCAGGAGAAATTCTCTTTTACCTTTGCTTTATTTAATGTGATCAACATTTATATTTCAGAAAATTGAAGCTCTCTCATCTGTTCCAGCTCCTGAACTATCATTAAGATTATACTTGCAATGTGCTGAGGTATGCCAAAACACTTGTGCCTAAAATTATTCAGTGGGTCTTATTGGTTGGACCCTATGTCTTGCTTATTTATATTGGTTCCATCCCTTGGTATTCAGGCTGCCAATGACTGTGATCTTGAACCTGCTGCATATGAATTCTTCACTCAAGCCTTTATACTGTATGAAGAAGAAATTGACTCTTGAATTTTTATTTCTTCTATTAGATGCACTCAGTTTTGTTCACATGTTATTTCCCTTTCCTTTCCTAGGATTCTAAAGAATAGGTGACTGCAATACACCTAATAATAGGGACCCTTCAGAGAATGAATATACTTGGTGCAGAGAACAGGGATACTTTAACACATAAGACCACTGGGGTAAAAATTTGAGCATTCATCTTTTTCTTGAGGTTTGTTATCATATGAAAAAAAATCCAATGATATTATTGCATGGGCAGTATTCAGCAAAGCTTCTGAAGAAGCCTGATCAGTGCAGAATGGTTTATGCAAACTCACATCTCTTCTGGGTTGATGATCAGGACGGTATAAAGGATGGAGAAAGGTATACATCTTATACCCAATATTATCTGGAAACATAGATGTGCATTTGTGCATTCATCATGAGTTAACATATCTATGTTGGTTGGAATGATCTAGGGATTTTATCTGTGTGCTAGTCTGTAGGATTTTATGAGCCTGATTTCTTTTTAACATTGGTTTGGCCAAACCAATTTTGAGCAGAAAACCTTGTGCATGTTGCATGTTTGATCTGCTTTTGTTTTTTGTCAAGCACTTAGGTGGATGGAACAGATTTAGATGGTACTATATCTACATGATGGGATACTGACATAGTGTATCCTCTACAGTATCAGAATGCAGATGTTCTCTCTAGGGTCATTAATGGCCACTACCTAATGATAGTCCTGGTTATCCAGGGTCTTGGGAATATACTGATGACCTAACCTTCTTTTATTTATTCTTATTATTTTTGTGCAAAATGACACTCACAGGCTCAAACCTGTGTCCTCGAGCTTGTAAGCCCTAGGTTTTACCATTACTCAAAACATTTGCATAAAGTGGTTGGTGTTTTCTCTCTCTTGAATCGTTTTCTCCTTTCCCAGGGTCATACTTTGCTTAAAGTGTGCTTTAAGAATTGATAATGCTACTCGAGTCCGGTTTCAGTCAGAGCAAAGCCTGTTCGAACAACTTCTACAGCCTTGCATTGGGAATATGTCCCAGCCAAACTCATGCTACTCCACAATCGCTAATGTGACACGGGGTAGCAATGGACTTGTCACTTTTTGTTGAGATATTGAGCAAGTATAATGGACTTGGTAATTTCATGTACCTCTACTTCTTTGAAAAGAGCAATCCACAGATTTCTAGTGCAGCAATCCAGGACCTGGTTGAGTTAATGAAAACCGAGATGCAAAGTGACACGGCAACACCAGATCCATCTACAAATGCTTTCTTTCCCAGCAGCCTACACTACATCCAGTTTCAGAAACTGAAAGGTGTGGTACAATGAGCGAAATATACGAGTCCATTTATAGAAAAGACTACATACGACCCAGATGTGAAAGTGACAGAAAACAAGGTCAAAATCATTGTGAAGAGAATATTTCTTGTAAAAACCAAGAATTTATCAAATTGAAATTAAGATGTATTTGTGATTCAAATATTTTGAATGAAGAATGGGTTTTTAAATTTTATTTATAATTAATGTTTTTTTTTTTGTATTTCATTCCGTTTAAGTGAAGATAGAGAAAACAGGTTATTTGAAACAAATTAGAAAAAAATTAAAAAATTAGGTTATATAAAAAAATGTCTTTAATAAGCGATTTATAGCGGTTGTCAGTTTATTATTAGTGGCAGTCGCAACAGTTATTTTAGCGGTTGTTTGCCGACTGCCAGTAATGTCTCTAGCGACAATTATGACTATTGCTAAAAGTCTTTTTTTTTTGTAGTGTAATTATGGTATCCTCTCATGTAAATCTAGAGGGTGCCCTCCAATGTGCCTTATAATACCTTGATGGTAATCATTTCACAATATGTGGTTTAAATAAAAACCAAAAATAATATGAAGAAATTCTCCTTAATACGGATTCTACAGTAATTCAGCACTACTAAAGATATCCTAGTAAATCAGAAATAGCTTATCCAAAGCTAGTAATGATTAAATTCATGACGAAGGCATCATGGAGTGACTCTAACAAGCCCAAATTCATCACCAAGCCAATAGATAGGACACCTAGAATGTTAAATTACTGGAATTATCAGGATGCTTGGTGTAAGGTATTTCTTGTTTAGAATTCTATCTTCAAGCACTCGTGGTTCATCTGGTTCTTTGAAGAGTTTCAGGGCCCATATCCAGATTGGGTTTATGTTTGGTGAACTACATGGGGAGCTTTAGATGATATCTTCCTCCAAAAAGAATTATTAGATAAATATTCAAATTTTGGGCATGGACGAAGCTATTTAGAATTCGAACCTATAAAACAATTTGAAGTCTTCAAAACATATTGCCTCCCTTGGATATTGAAATGGAGTTACTATTTGGATGTTTTATGGATGCCTCCATCCATTGATAGAATCATTGAAATTAAGTGGTGGGATAAGTTTGCCCTCACATAATCTCTTAAGCCAATAGAGGAAGACGAGGATTTTTAGACCCTAATCGAATTCTATATGGAAAAGCTCAAAAGCAAGTTTCTTGACCTGGATCCCATTGAACTCGAGGAAATGTCCCATCGATTTGTAGAAAAGATGAAAGAAAAAGGTAAAGGAATCTCTAAAGATATCGAGACCATAAGTGTTCGGTCTCTTAGTCCCCACTAAGGGTCTCAATTATGAAGGAATCTAACTATTGATAGACATTTGCCCACTTTAAAAAGGTTCACCCTTATCTTTAACAGTAAGATTTTCCACCTCAAAAGCCAAAGATAAATAAGCATCTTCTCACAATAAAGAGATAAAGAAGCATCTCCATCTCATCGCCTAGTTTAAAAAGACAAAAGCAGAAAAGACAAGCATCTCAATTAAAGGTGCCTTCAAGATAAGATTGAATTTGAAAGAGATTTCTCTTAGTCCTCACTAAGGGTCTCAATTATGAAGGAATCTAACTATTGATAGACATCTGTCCACTTTAAAAAGGTTCATCCTTATCTTCAACAGCAAG